CCCGGTCGCACCCGACGACACCTGTTTGCGCTGTTGTGTTTCTCCACGCTGTGATTCCTTGCACAACACAGAGCCTTAATTACCCTGTGGTTGTGTGTGTTTGTTTGTGTGTTGCTTCAGAGGATTCCCTCTTGCGTCAGGATGATATTTGGATGCTGGATGGCGATGACCCTCAGGAGCCCCTTTCCCACGTTCCACGTCCCGATCACCTGGACTTCCTACGCATCACACCGCCTGAGGATGACATCATCGGGGACACACCCTACTATCCCAAGCTGGAGTGCACGGTGAGGGCCCTCAAACATGAGCAGCACAAACACTTAAAGATCTCAATGAGCTGTAATGCACATTTTCCCACGCAGAGCAGTGCACCATGGCACTCTTTTTTTTTTCTTTTTTAATTTTCCACCCTCTTGGGACTCATTGGGATTGCTCTCCACTCTGGCATTTAACCACCTGATCATGAATTCTTAGAGATGGATTAACAGGTCACAGATTCTAATCTGCAGACTGGGGTATTAAGCCAAAACTGACTGAGATCATTCCACTCAAACCTCTCTCATTCAGAGCAAACACAGAAAAATCTGACCTTCTCCTGCAGGCCTTTTCTATCATTTTGTAAACTTATTTAGGCCATAGAGAGTAATTAAGGGGATTTCTCTATTGTTAATGGGCTGAGATTGCAACACGAGATACACAGAGCATGTGGTTTGTGTAATCCTACTGTGTGCATGTCTCCCAAAAAGCCTGCAGCAAACAATGCATTGTTTGTTTCCAGGTGTTTGTAGGCTTTAATTATGCTAATAAGTAATACAACCAAAGAACTACTAATCTGCACTCAAATCATCTGATTTAAAAAAACAAAGAAAAAAAACAAAACTATTTCCGTCTCTGTAAGTCTCTCTAAATCCATCCAGGTTCCATCATGCTGTCTGGCAAAGGCGTTCATTCCATTGGCAGGTAAGGCAGATTACCTGGGTGTGGTTTTAGGTGGATAGTCTAGGAGTGCAATGCCATGAATTGTTTTCCCCAAGACACAATAGATTCTCTGACTGTGATCATAATCAGTTGACATACCATTACAAAGGCCACGCTGTACAGAATTAGAGCCTCTGTGTTGTTTTGAAAGTGACAGCCAGCTCACTTACTTGGCTGGGGCACAGCCTTTTTGTCACCATCATCCATTTTCATGTCACTAGAGAAGCATACATCAGTTGTAAATGATGCATTCTGAGAATGGGAGGGAGGAGGAGGGATGAGATGACACAATCCAAATCTGTAGTTTTGATTTGATAGGGTTTTTTTTCTCTCTCTCTTTTTAGATCTGTAGTGTTTAGTTTCCTTCCGGACACAACGCTTTGAATTGAGGCCAAACACTTCGATCTTGGTTTGATCAGACCAGAGAATCTTTTTTCTCACCATCTAAGAGTCCTTTAGGTGCTTAATAATATAATAATAATAAACTTTCACTGAGGATGGGCTTCCGTCTGGCCGCTCTGCCATGAAGCTCAGATCACTTGAGTGCTGCAGTGATGGTAGTCCCTTCTGGAAGTTTATCCTCACATGATCTCTGGGGCTCAGCCAGAGTGACTGTCCAGTTCTTGGCCACTTCCCATTCTCTCCAATTGCTCAGTATAGCTGGGTGGCCAGCTCTAGGAAGGGTCCTGGTTTTTCCAAACTTCTTCCATTAAGAATTATGGAGGCCACTGTGCCCTTCAGTGCAGCAATTGTTTTTCCGCAGATCTGTGCCGCAACACAATCCTGACTCTGAGCTCTGCAGACATTTCCTTCCTCCTCATGGATTGAAAAAAAAAAAAAAATCTGCTTTCTCTTTGTCATTATGGAGTGTTGAGTGTAGATTGAGGGGAAAATTAATTTAAATGATGTAAGAAAAAGGCTGCAACGTAACAAAAAGTGGAGGGGTCTGAATACTTTCTGACTGTAAATGAATCATGTCACTGCTGAGCTGACATGTGCCAGATATCAGTTCACATCACAGCCTTGTC